CTGGGCTGGGCTGTTTGATGCCTGGCTTTGTCAGAAACCTTCCCAATCGGAATAGCTTGCTTGTTGTTGCCCCATGGGGGTCACAAAGGCCAGATTTCCCTTCCCCTCCCCATGGGAGGAGAAATGGGGAACAGCCACTGTGACCCTAAAGGCTGAGCACCCCAAAGGGGTGGAGCCATTGCAGCTGCTCTCCAAGGGCAGCTTGGGTGCATTCAGGCCGGCTGGCACCCAGGATGCGACAGGTTGGCTGATTTCACACTGCACTGCATTCCCTGGAACAGCCCAAGGCTTCGGGGGTCTGCCTCTTCCAGCCAGCCAGCCAGCTGGGGAAATGGGTCTGGGTTCCCATGACACTGCAATCCATCACTGACTGTGACGAGGGGAACCGGTCCGAATGCTGCCCTACTGCAGTCCACAACACAGGCTGGGAACCCATTGGAATTCTGGGAGGGGACATTCTCACCCTGGAAAGGGTTTCATGTTCACCTGCCCCAGGATCCCTTCCTGAAAGCAGCAGGAGCACCTTGTCTTAGCACTTGCACCCTCCCCCCCACCCTGTGGCATTGCCTGGCAGAGAACTCGGCTCATGCTGCCAGATCCCTCCCCCCCACCCCAGACCTGCAGTAAACCAACAACAGCAACATCTGCAGAGCAACACTGCTCCACAAGGAATCCAAACCACATGATCCTCAGAGGACTGGGCACACTGGCCTCAATCCTGAGGAATGGGGATGCCTTAGTGCATGGCGTGGATGTTCCGGGAAGTCACAGGAGCTCCAGGCAAAAGGGATCGCTGCCACACGAGCCCCTGATTGTCAAGGATGCAGCACCTGAGTGGGAAATGCACATTCTTCAGATTTGGGGAAAGCAGAATTCAGGCAATCGTAAGCCAGGTCGTGTGGCAAGTGCCCCTAAGGAAGAAGGCAGACCTGCTTGGGTGGGATGCTGCTGAAAAGCTCATTTGACGGACACGAAGAAACAATTCCTACAAAAAACGTAAAACAGAAGGCAACAGAAGACACGAGTGTGGCTCCACGAAAAGTTTTGAGGTGCCAGGTCGAAAAAAAGGACACATACAGAAAGTGGAAGTGGTCTATGACCCCCATGCCCCTATTCCCCAAACTGAAGTACCCCTGAAGGAGATGGAGCGAGGCTTGAGATTCACGAGGACATGGTAAAGAAGTGCCTCGTTGCTTTGCACAAACGCAACTCTCCAGGCCTGAGGAACCCCACCCCAGGGCAATACAGGAATAGGCCCAAATACCCTCTGAAGGGCTGTCTGTTGTTCTGGAGAAATTATGGGGACGGGTGAGGTGCCGGATGATTGCCGGAGGGCTCCTGCTGCCCCCATCTTCAGAAGGAGCAGAAGGAGCATCCTGGGAACTTCAGACCTGACAGCAACCCCTGGGAATATCCTGCAGCAGATCCTGTGTAAGTGGGCCTCTGAGTCCCCGGGAGATGATGCAGTGATCCGGAGAAGCCCACAGGGAGCCCCGAGACTCTGACCTCATTCGTCAAATATCCTCCCTTGCGGACTGTGGGAATGCTGTGGCCACCCTGGAGCAGGCCCTCAGGACAGCATTTGGCAGAGCACCCCATGCCATTCTGACCAGCAAACGAGCTCAAAGTGGACACGGGAACAGCTGCTGGGCAGCCCCCAGAAAGCCTCCCTCACTGGGGCTTGGTCGGCTTCTGCAGTCTGCTGCTGTCTGATAAGCCCACACGGTGGGACCACATGTTGCCCCATCGTGTGGCACTGAGATGGGCACCGTTGTTCTCACCTGTTTTCCTCTCCTGGGTTGTGGGGGCACAGAGTTATTTACTTCTTTATTAGTTGGGTTTTGTGTGGTACAATATTGATATTGTGATGTTTGTATTTATGTATTTTCCTTTCTATATTTAAAAAAATTAAAAGGGGGACTAAAAAAAGAAGTGCCTTGGTTATGCCTATTTTTAAACACCTCAGTTTTTGGAGATTTTTCTCACCAGCTCATTCCATCTACTCCTTCTAAGCACTTCACAGGTCTCGGAAGCATCAGAATCTGTCCCTACCTCCATTTCTTCCCCATCTACAGTGGTGCCTTGGCTCACGAATACCTCAGTTCACGACCAAATCGGGTGGCGAACAAAAATTTCATAAAAATTTTGACTAAGGTCGCCAACTCCACTTTGGGTGGCGACCACGAACATGGCCATCTCCCCCGCCCCCCAAGTGGGGAGATGGCTATGATCGTGCTGGGGGGGGGGGGGGGGGAGATGGTCGAGAACGCACCTGTCTTTCCTGCACAAGCATGCCCGTGAGTTCACCCATCTTTCCTACACGAGCGCAACCACGATCTCAGCCATCTCCCCCCTAGCACAATCATGCCCATCTCCACCCCCCTGAGTGCACCCGTGTTTGCACCCGTCTCTCCCCCTACCCACCCCCAGCACGATCACGGCCTTCTCTCCCCCCATCCCAGCACACCCACGATCATGCCCATCTCCCCCCACAACAGCACGCTGGGATGATGCATGCGTGCAGGGATGATGGGTGCGAGTCATGCGGGGGGGGGTGCTGGGAGATGGCCAGGCTCATGCTCAGGGTGGAGGGTGGGGAGATGGCCACGATCTTTGTTGTTCTATCTCACTTTGCTTCACATTTTTCTGATTAAAAATAGTTACAGAACGGATTAACCTTATCTACATTGACCCTCATGGGGAAATCTGACTTGGCTCATGACCAATTTGGGTCATGACCAGAATCCTGGAACAAATTAAGATCGTGAGCCAAGATACCACTATATTTGCCAGGAAGTAATAGGACCTGATGCCATGATCTTAGTTATCTTAATGTTGAGTTTCAAGACAAAATTTGTGCTCTCCTCTTTCACCTACATCAAGAGATTCTTGAGTTCCTCTTCACTTTCTGCCATTAGAGTGGCATCATCTGCATGTGTGAGGTTGTTGATATTTCTCCTTGCAATCTTAATTCTGACTTGTGATTCATATACCCCGGCCTTTTGCATGATGTGCTCTGCATATAAGTTGAATAGGCAGGGCGACAATATACAGCCTGGCCATACTCCTTTCCCAATTTTGAACCAATCAGTGGTTCCGTGTCCAGTTCTTACTGTTCCTTCTTGACCCACATACAGGTTTCTCAAGAGACAAATAAGATGTTCTGATACTCCCATCTCTTTAAGAACATGCCTCAATTTGTTGTGATCCATACAATCAAAGGCTTTAGTATAGTCAATGAAGCAGAAGGAGATGTTTTTCTGGAACTCCCTAGGTTGCTCAGACTTCCTAAGGCCCATTTGACTTCACATTCCAGGAAGTCTTGCTCAAGGTCAGTGACCAACCCATTGTGGTTATCAGGGACTTTAAGCTCTTTCTTTCTTGTATAGTTCTTCTGTGTAATCTTGCCACTTTTTCTTAATCTCTTCCCCCTCTGTTAGTCCCTGTCATTTTTGTCCTTTATCATGCCCATCTTTGCACAAAACGTTCCCTTCATATCTCCAACTTTCTTGAAGAAATCTCTGGTCTATTCTATTGTTTTCTTCTATTCCTTTACACTGTTCATTTAAGGAGGCATTCTTATCTCTTCTAGCTATTCTCTGGAATTCTGCATTCAATTGGGTGTATCTTTCCCTTTCACCCTTGCCTTTCACTTCCCTTCTTTCCTCAGCTATTGGTAAAGCTTCCTCAGACAGCCATTTTGCTTTCTTGCATTTCTTTTTCTTTGGGATGGTTTTAGTTGCTACCTCTTGTACAATGCTGCAAACCTCCGTCCATCAGACACTCTGTCTAACAAATCTAATATTCCTTAAATCTATTTGTCACCTCTACTGTATATTCATCAGGAATATGATTTAGGTCATACCTGAGTGGCCTAGTGCTTTTCCCTACTTTCTTCAATTTAAGCCTTAATTTGGAACAAGAAGCTCATGATCTGAGCCACAGTCAGCTTCTGGTCTAGTTTTTACTGACTCTACAGAGCTTCTCCATCTGTGGCTGCAGAGCACATAGTCAATCTGATTTCTGTGTTGACCATCTGGTAATGTCCATGTGTAGAGTTGTCTCTTGGGTTGTTGGAAAAGAGTGTTTGCTATGACCATCGTATTCTCTTGACAAAATTCTACCAGCCTGTGCCCTGCTTCATTTTGTACTCCAAGGCCAAACTTGCCTGTTATTCCAGTTATCTTTTGGCTTCCTACTTTAGCATTCCAATCCCCCATGACGATAAGGACATTGTTTTTTGGTGTTAATTCTAGAAGGTGTTGTAGGCCTTCATAGAACCGGTCAACTTCAGCCTCTTCAGCATCAGTGGTTGGGGCATAGACTTGGACTACTGTGATGTTGAATGGTTTGCCTTGGATTCGAACTGAGATCATTCTGTCATTTTGGAGATTGTATCCCAGTATTGCTTTTCCTACTCTTTTACTGACTATGAAGGCTACTTCATTTCTTCTGAGGGATTCTTGCCCGTAGTAGTATACCTGATGGTCATCTGAATTAAATTTACCCATTCCTGTCCATTTTAGTTCTCTGATTCCTAAGATTTTGATGTTCAGTCTTGTCATCTCGTTTGCCCATATCCAGCTTACCTTGATTCATAGATCTTACATTCCAGGTTCCAATGGAGTATAGATCTTTACAGCATCCGACTCTCATTTCACCACCAGATACATCCACAACTGAGTGTCCTTTCTGCTTTGACCCAGGCGCTTCATTCTTTCTGGCGCTACTAGTACTAGCCCTCTGCTTTTCCCCAGTAGCACACTGGACACCTTATGACATGAGGAGCTCATCTTCCAGCACCATACCTTTTTGCCTTTTGGTACTGTCCATGAAGTTTTCATGGCAAGAATACTGGAGTGGGTTGCCATTTCCTTCTCCAGTGGATCACGTTTTGTCAGCGCTCTCTGCTATGACCTGTCCGTCTTGGGTGGCCCTGCACGGAATAGCTCATAGCTTCATTGAGCTACAGAAGCCCCTTTGCCACGACAAGGCCGTGATTCATGAACGGGTTTTTCTGTTTATTTTTCACTTAATAAGTTAGGGCACCATCCATCATCTGGAAAGCCATGGGAGTCCCAGCTCCAAGGAGCTGAGACTCAAGAGCTGTCGATTGAAAGACCAAACTCCTGCTGCCCTGGGGCTGGCGCTGTGCTGGCTGCCCCCACTCCATGCCAAGGCCGTAACAGAGCCTTGGGAGGGTAAAAGGGGGCATGCTGAAGACAGAGAGAAGAGGCTGGAGTGGAGGACTTCCTAGCAGTATACCAACTGCCTTCCCTTCCCCTTCCTGACAATGTATCTAGATGGCCAAATGTGCACTCCTGAGATTTTCATCTGACAGTCCAACTATTGCTAAATTCAGAGTAAAGTTTGAGCCTTGTAAATTTTTAGATTGTGTTTAAATTCTCTCCCCTCATCTGTTGATGTCAGGGAGAAGTAAACAGTTTATTCACCTATCCCAAATAGGCCTATATTTAGTGCCATCATGAACAGCAAACGTAGCCAGAGAGTGCTGGCTACTGAGCAGTATTGAAGTTAATATGAGTATGGATGAATAACCTGACCCTCTGCTTTCCTTTGCCAGTGGTGGTGGTGAACTTACAGCTGTGAGAAGGAAGGGATAATGAACCAACTTCAAACCAAGTCTGATACAAACCATTCCTTTTGATGTGCAGATTCACTATGTGTGCAAAGCAGCCGTGTGCACTTGCCTTTTCCTGAATACTTCTGCACAATTCACAATTCTTCTTTACTAGATGGATGTATACAAAAATATAAAATACCATTATTAAAACATATAGTGATGATGCATGCAGAAAAAAGCAGACAGATCAGCAACAAACATTTAATGAAGAGATATCACATTGAACTCAATTCAGAGCACAATCCCATGTAATTTTAGATAGAAAAAGGTCTACCACTACTAGCACAGCTTACCAAGGAATGCTGGGAGTGATTAGACTTTTTATGTCTAAACATGTCTTTAAACAATTCCCTCATAACAAAGCTTTATTTTTAAAAATCTAGTTTTATAGTATTATTTCAAGCTCCCCACCACTTTAAACCTTTGCCTCCCTTGCCCCATTCTTTTATGCAAATCTAATTTTATAGAAGAGCTGTTCTGAGAAAAAAGTAGTTCATCTACTTGACCCTGAAATTGTTTATTGCATTGTCACCATGATTCCTTTGTCCCTTCATATTAGTCTGAAAAAGTTACATTCATTGTCTATCTGCAACAGCCAGATGGTGTATTTTTTGCTGTCTTGTAATTATTTAAGTCTACAGTTTGTGGGAGCCCCTCAGTCTTCTGCTGCAAAATTACTGGTATCACCATCTCAAATACAGTTTCAAAAAGGTCATCCACATTATATCCTGTTTTCGCACTGGTTTCAAAGCACATTTTTTCTCCTGCCGGAGCAGTCTTCTCATCCAACATTTTGTATTTTAGGATCTTTTTATATAGTGCTATAGCATCATCTACATGGACTTGTTTTTTCACCTTGGTTGACATGAAACTGTTAATGGGCTTCTCAAAGTGATGTTTGTTTTCCATTTCCGGCAAAAAGGCACAAGCATCTGTGAGATCAGCTTTGTTCCCAACAACAGCAAAAACACAGTCTGTACTGGCAGTGTCTGTCAATGCCAGGAACCTGTCCTCAAGTTCCACCATGCTTTGTAAGCTGGTTACATCATAGGTGAGGATAACAGCTGCTGCTCCTCGACAGTACATGGACCCAAGGCCATGAAATTGTTCACGACCTATAATTTTCAAAAAAAAATAAAAAGATAGAAACAACTTCAGTACAACCTGACATTCAGGATGTATGCAACACTATACAACCCATTAATACTGTCACAGGAGGACAATATGGAAGTATCCCCTTTTAACCACAAATGTTAGGGTTAAGTGCCTGGGAATTCTCCTTTGCCTGGGGAAGGGCAAGTGTACCTCAGATTGCCCTTTCTTTCCTAGCCCCACAGAAAACAGATTGATACAGAATGGTTATCTCAGCAGGATGGTAGTGGGTTCAGCCACGCAGCTTATAAGGTAATGAATACCCCTTTCCTGTAGTGCCCCAGTCAGACTGGACAGTCTTGAATTATGCACACTGTTCCCCAATTGTTGTTGCTTTGTGTCATCCATGTACCTTATGATGCAATTATTGCCCTCAACCCCTAAAAGCCCCAGCAGATGTGCATAAGACTAGCAGCTTTAGAGACTACAGCTTTATGGATAACTTTTGCAAGGTGCCCATATAGTCAGACCTTTTGAAGCTTATGATACAAGTGCTTTGATGCAGGCACTTAAACCAAAATGAGACAGTGTGATTCCAGCAGGCAATACTAATTAGCTTACAGACTGTTTTAAGAGATGTCTGAGACTATAGCTGGATTCATATATCACAAGCAATCCTGCACGGTTACCATGTTTCATAACTTAATTTTATCCATAATTTTATTCATCATTCATATTACATGTTTTTAAAATGATTTATGGTCCCTATTTTAAAATAATTTAGACTTATATACATTTTACATATTGTTTCAATGATTTTTTTATGCAATAATGCTGCATTCTGCTATGCCATACAAAATAAACACACGAACCATGGTTCACTCTGGCTGATGCATATGACAAGCCATGCTGGAAACTGCACAGGCATGGTTTATGTGTGACCCCAGCATCCATGGTGAAGCACTGCACATTTGGTTTCCAAGAAACCATGTCGAGAAACAATGGCTTGTTGTAAGGTTTCCATGCTTCACCTTGTCCTTGTGTGTGATCCCCGCCTCCATGTTTCTGTGTGATTTCTACGTTTCTACTCGTATTAGCACGTTTGGCAGCAAGCGCAGCTGTGGCTGCAACAGACACTCCAGCCTCCATTTTCTGTTGTCCTGTTCTGACTAGCAACTGTTAAGGCAGCTGTAACCACGCTCTCATCGGCCGCCTCTGGGTGCCCTGTCTTCCCTGCTGGTGTATGGCTTTCTGATGCCCAGCTGTAGCGACGGGATCTTGCCAGCAGCAGGGCACTGCACTGCACCACCTCCAGTAGCAGCAACCAGAGGCAGTCATGCTTGGCGCTCTGGCCTGGTTGCTGCTCTTTGCTGGAGCGGTGCTGTGTTTGAGCCAGCCTAGAAGCCAGCAGCCTCCTCATGCAGAGGCCACCTTGCATGCGACTGCCAACAGGGTGAGCATCCCAAGGAGCCCATTTCTCCTGTTCTGTCTTCAGCTCTCTGCCCCACTCTCACCTTGTCCCCAGCAATCCTTGGGACCCCCTGCAAGCCCCAATATTCAATCCCCTTGCCACAGCCGTGGGACTGATAGTGGCTTGACAGATTCCGGTCAATTTACCCCAAGCTTCCTTACAAGCTCTTTCTGCCTCCTCCACGTGTCTTAAGTTGAATTACTATCCAAACATCTCTGCTGGGCCTTGCCATTTTTGCCTGGCCTGAGAGAATGAAATGGACCTTAGCTTCATTTTAAGCCAACAGCTACTTAGGGATGGGCATGTACACTTTGAGTGGGTTTGGATGACGAGTTTTAGCCCAGGGTGGCTATGGATCCTGACTACCACAAAGGGAACACAGAGGGAACCTCAGGCACCACCTGCCTTTCCCCCCACCTCAGTCCTCCAGGCAACATCCCAGGGGACACCACACAGGATCCCTGAGGGGAGCACCATGATCGTGGCTGGACAGAGGTACTTTTGGCAGCTGTCATCCACTTCCCTGCTCCGCAGTTCTGCTGATGTTGCCAGAACAGGATAGCCCACAACATGGAGGTGATGGGAGAAATTTCCCCTCCAGCTCATCCTTCACTTGGTTCAGCATCCATGGCACTGCCACAAATGAGGGCGGCACACTCCACTGATACTCAGTCAAATGCACCCCTCCCTGCTACTTGCAGTCACATTTGCCCTACATTGGGAGAGGGCTTTTGTGGCAGCTCTGGGCAGGATTCCAGGATCCTTTCAAGGAAGTGATACCAACAGGCTGTACTGGAAAGCATTTCTTACACAAATTAAACTAATTTGCCAGCAGGGCAGGCAGGGGGTCCTCACGCCAGCCCAGCTGTCACATTTGTTAATTTGTGTGAGCTATTTTTCATCAGAGTATACTCCATCTGCTAGGGAAAATTTTCTGATATGCCAGGGATGGGGAACCATGTGCGGCCCTCCAAGTGTGGCTAAATCAGTGCCTGACTGTGACAATGGACTGCATGAGGGCTAATGCACTGAAACTCAATCCAGACAAGACCAAGATGCTGTTGGTGGGTGATTTCTCTGACCAGTTGCTTGGTGTTCAGCCTGTTCTGGGTAGGGTTGCACTCCCCCTGAAGAAGCAGGTTTGTAGGCTACTCCTTGATCCATCTTTGTAACTTGAAGCTCGGGTGGCATCAGTGGCCCAGACTGCCTTCAACTAGCTTCAGCTGGTGGCCCAGCTGTGGCCCATCTGGACAGGGATCCCCTGTAATTTACTGAATCTCTAAATTAGACTACAATGTACTCCATGTGGGGCTGCTCTTGAAGTCAGATCAGAGGCTGCTGCTGGTGAAGAATGCAGCAGCCAGATTAATAACTAAGAGCTGCAGATCTGAACACAAGACTGGTCCTGGCTCACTTGCATTTGCTTAACGTCTGCTTCTGGTCCCGATTCAAGGTGCTGGTTTTAGCCTATAAAGCCTTACATGGTTCAGGACCACAATACCTGTTGAAGTGCCTCTCCCAACTGTGATCTACTCAGATACTACTCTCAGCCTCTGGGTCCTTTCTCTGAGGGAAGTGTGGAGGGTGGCAACAATGGGGAGAGCTTTCTCTGGGTTGGCTCCTCACTTATGGAACAACATCCCCACTGCAGCCCAGCTGATGACAAATGCATCATCTTTTTGGTGCCAGGTTAGCATAGCCCTTTATGCTGAGGCCTTTAAGGACTTATCACCCACCCCAGATGTTTTACACAGACTTTCTTTGTTACTGTTTTAGTTGTTTTAAACTTTAAATATTTAAAGCTTTTATATGTTTTTCTGATTTTATAAATATATTTATCAGATTTTATTATCTGCATTATGGGCTGTTGTAAGCCGCGCAGAAAGCTTCAGCTAGGTGGCAGTGTAGAAATAAATGAATACATAAACTTCTACCAGCAAGAGCTAGTGGCAAGTACTGATGGGAGCTGCAGTCCAACATGTCCCAAAGCTCTCCACAATGTTCCCCTTTCATGCCCAGGCTGCAGTTGTACTGATCCCATGGCAGATGCATGTAAACCTCCAAGTCTGTTGCAAATCTGTTCAGTACAATTAAAGCAGGTGATGTCTGTTGCACCTCACGCTGGATATTTTCTCTGGAGAGCTTTTTTGGCTATCTAGATGAGTGCTGGGGAGCAAAAGGGACAGAGACTGAAGCACTAACTCCAACTGCTATAAGTCCCCAACCCCAACTCTTCCCTGTCCAGCTAGCAAATCCCTATTTGTCCCTATCTTAGGCCAGCTGAACCACTAACATAAAAAAACTGCTGTGTTCTTTCTTAACAATCTGCTATTATAGTTACTTGGATTCTAATAAAGCCCACACAGATTGAAGCAAGGCCAACATGATTACTCCTGTTATTTAACATGTACAAGCACTGTGCCAGTGCTAGCTGCAGTACAGTCCATTCAGTTCTCATGCCAACTTCTTTAGCTTTCAGCTGAACAGCAGACATGGAGTAACAATTAAATCTCAGAGGACAACAAATTGATTCTAGATAGAAAGGATTAAACCCTTTAGTGAGGTTTCTTCGCTGTGTTTGGGCTTATACAAAAAGGGCCAAATCTCTACTGTATCCCAAGACTAATCACTGTTACAGTCTTCTTCCTGGTTTCCTTGCACAAAACTACTTCTGGTAATCATTTGTTGGCTTTTACTGTTCCAGTGCATACTTTCTTCTAATTTAAGCTTGCTAGTAGCTAGAAGGATATCCAAGCAACCCTGTTGGGTCCTTCACAATGCAAGGAATAACACCCAACCCCCACAATAAATCCATCTTGCCCTCCCCCACATTTTAAACACTGAATTAAATTTACTAAAGAGTAAATTGTCACAAATTCACAATTATGCAAATTCCTAATTTTACAAACAGTGATAACACCCATGCCTACTAAGCTAAAAAAAAGAGCAGGTATATATAGGAAAAACGTAAGGTTAATTTCAAGGCACAAATCAGAGAGAAAAAATTACTTCTAAATGTGGGTACTGAACGAAGGACTTCCTCCAAATAATCTAATGAAGTACTGGAATTCCAGTGCAATGAGTGGCAGTGCATCCCCTTCTTCCCCCCATGATTTTTGTAGGGTTAGTATTCACTACAGCTGAAACAGGAGTACTCAACTCTTGTCAGGAAAAAAAGACCTGCAGCCAACCTATTGATCTGCTTACATCCTAATACCCCAGTTTAACTGGATTATAGGCTGAGCTGCTAATAAAACAATATAACTACCCAGCAAACTAAAATGAAAGAGGGTTATTCACATTCTTAACATTACAGTGATCATGTATCTCAGTTGGTTTAATGACTTTCTTCGAACTCCTAGTATAAAACATCTATTATACTGTCCTCTAGTAGTCCAATGTGACTATGACTGATAGTTAAGTTTTAATGGAAAATTAGCATTAAACAACTTGGTTAACTGAAGCATATATGGCTTGATGTGATGTCTACTTAAAAGTTTAGAAGAGCAACCAATAATACTTATTTCTTGAACTTAAAATATTCTTCTTATT